GGTAGAAATCCTCTCCACTGCAAAGAGAAGTTGTCTTTTTGTCTTTTTTTCTGAGGACGCGAGGTGGCACCCGTTTCATGTAATCCAAAAAAGTTGGCCTCGTTTACCGACCCCAAACTGACCTGAGAAGTAGGACGGACACCCTCTTCGAAATCGGGAAGCTAAAAAAAAAAAAAAAAAAAAAAAAAAAAAAAATAGAAGAAAATTAATTAAAAAATAATAATAATAAAATAAATCAAGAAAGATAGGGTGATTTATTTTTACTGATCCGTTTAAAGGCAATGAGGAACTAGGCACGCCCTCAAAAAAGGAGGAATTTGCAACGGCTAAGTCAAAAACCTTGGATGTCTCTTTCGATGGACAGTGGTTGCTAGACTCGTCGTTCGAAGGTAAAAGCGCGGAGATGATTTCATTCCCTTCACCATGAGCAGCTTCGAACGCGGGATCAGAGGCCGCGTTATCAAGAGGAATACGCCGTTTCCTAGTAGAATTCTCCGCAGCTTGCTCGACGTTTCCCTTTCCAATAGGTGAAGAAACATGAGGTTCTTTGGGGTCTTTCGCTGAAGCTTTTTGAACAGTGCGACCAAGTTTGAGCGATAACTTAGTGTTTGCTCCTAAAGAAGTTTTCCAACTTTTGGCCCACCATTCTGTATACTCTTTTGTCACCAAAGGGAAGGAGGATGTGTCACTTGGCATAATAAGCTTGGAGGATGTTCCCAACAAAGTGCAAGATTTCCAAAATCGAATGAGTTCGTGCAACTCACAAGTCAATATTTCTTTCTTTAAGTCACCCGGAATGCTTTGGCAAAAACCATGTTGGCGGCTGAATCTATGAGGACTGTACGCTTCAATGATGTGTTCCGCCTCACAACGGAATGTCAAATAGCTGGATCGCAAAGCCACAAGAATATCTTTGCATTTGCTGGAGAGTTTGGCATCGTCCGTGACTAAAATTTCTTGTTTGGAATACCACAAGTCTCGGAGCTTTGACATATTGATATTATGAAACAAGTCGCGTGCCTCATCGAGATCAAAATGTTTAGCCATGTTCTCTCCCGCATATTTCACCATATGAGCGCCGATTATCTCGAGTTTGGAATGAAAGTGAGTCTCGAGAGTGTGTCCTATCCACGCGTAGAGATAATGAATGGGGAAGATAATAGGAGACTCGCCTAAGTTCTCCGATGTAGATATTCCCCTTAAGCCGCGGTAGATGCTTGCCAGCACAGGAACTGCCAACGAAAAATATTCTCCTCTAGCCATTCGACTTGAAACCTTGAAAACAGAGGCGCGTATCTTATCAATTGATCCATGAGGGAGAGCAAAACTACAAAGCCAACATGCAATGAACGCGGCCAAGTAAGTTTCTTCTCTAACATCCTCCTCGATTTTGAGCGTTGCAAACGGTATGTCGTATTCCATGGGGCG